TATTTTTCTTATGATTTACCATTCTGTATGCAAATGAATTATGCAAAAGTAATTCAAAAGACATTTTCATTTTTTACACGTCGCATAAATTCATTAAAAACTTTTTGAAATAGAATTAATTGCTTATTTTACAGTATTATTTGAATAAAAACATATAACGCTATTCTAATCATAACAAATTAATATATTTGAATATCTTTAGAATAACTTAGCCGATATTCAATAGAGGATCTCAAAACAGAAAAGAAAACTATGCTTACGTTTTATTTTCACCCTAAAACTCATTATTTACCACTTTATTAAAGAGTAAATATTTTAAAAAGGTCAAAAGTCAAATAACAGATTAAGAAATAAAGTTTAAAAATATGATCTGAAATTTAAATTTTAATAATGCTTGGTTGTAATTTCATGAGTTTTCGCGTAGCCCATTCAAAGTAGAAAGTTTTAAGCGAAATACCTAGATACTTTGAACAGGTCTTTCATTTTTATGCATACGTAACTGTTAATGACCGAAATTAGTGGTTGTTGACATCCACCGGTGCATGTTGACAATCACATAGTCGCTTTGGTAAATGTTCGAAATATATACTATGTCTAGTAGGACTGGGCTACAAATCGACATATCGATTTAACGCCTGTATCGGACTTTCGTTCCAGGCGATGCATCAGATATCTGATTTAAGCCGTCCTGTAAAGAAGACGAACGATATAGCGATATACGATATAGCGATACAAGACACGCAAGGAACTTCTCTTACGTTCCGATGCCAATTNACATAGTCGCTTTGGTAAATGTTCGAAATATATACTATGTCTAGTTAAGAGCCACTGCCCGATATACCTTACACTGATTTTTTTAAGGCTCAATGCCACTGTCCATTGCTCCAAACACTGATGTTTCTCCTAATCTACACCCTAGCGCCTATGTGATTGTTGACATTCGTCGATGAAAGTCGACATTCTCTTGATTTTGGTTATTTTGCTTTTTTATTTTTTATGATCGTCGTTGAACAGCCGACCCAATTTTGATTTTACGACGACTAATGCCTTGAAATTTTAAACCAAATCACGAAGAGAAGGAAATCCTGGATCAGAAACCCCAGATGTATGATTTGCTAATGGAACATGGAGGACTTCGAGACTCGACAGATTTAAAGTGCATCAGTCACACGAGGAGTCTACGGTCGGCGGAGATCGAACCCACGACCTCTTGGACATGGGCCCAGTGCCCTGCCTACCAGGCTATCTCGGTCCCTGATTTCGTTTATTCACGGTAACAGCGGTATACCTCAAACAAAAAATATTTTCTTTCTCTGCTATTTAAAACTATATTTGTCCATGGGAAGGAAAATTAACACCCGATTTTAAAAGATGTTTCATGCGAAAAACACTTTCAGGTAAATTCAGGATTTAATATTAAATTATTCAGAAACCGATGTTATTATGCTGCATTTGGATAAATTTAAAAATGATAACAGTGCAAAATTCGCCTTTTGTAGTTAATATATTCATGTTTCTTTTTCAATAGTTCTGTAAAATAATATTCAGGCTCATTAAATCAAACTTTATCACGTAAAGAACAAAATACTCGTGTCGCTGCAAAGGGTTATCCGCTTCTAATTTAGATGAAAATCCTTTTCTTTTCTTTAAAAATCAGATTATTTAACCAGTAACGCGATTAACTAGAAGGTTAGTTAGTTGGATTTTGACGTTATTTGTACGTGTACAAAATTAAACTATTGTTTTTGTGTTCTGTTTCCTTTTTTTTTTTTTTTTTTTTTTTTNCAAAATTAAACTATTGTTTTTTTGACAGTTCTTCATATATAATCTCTACATGAAATATTTTTCAAAACAAATATATCGGCGATAAGTATTTTCCATGATTTTTTGACACATTCGGTTCAAAATCAGCTTTATTAATAACCAGCCTAACAATTTACTTGCTGATTCTAATAAGAAACTTTTTTGTTTTTTGCTCATTTGAACAATAACAGATGGATGAAAAGTTGTTTTAAATCTTTATTTGTATCCATTCAAATACTTCTACTTTTTTTTTATATTTGATTATTCGATTTCAACTTCTTTTAAAAAAAAATGACTATAGTACATATGCCAAAAGAAATTCAGCTTAAAGAAGGAAAATTAATGATACTCTTAAAGTGGTAAAAACTTTGATGAAAGCTCAAACAAATTATTTTATAATAGACGTTTTATTTTAGTTTATGAAGAGATGATACATTTTTAGATTTACGACGGTTAACGCTCTATTCTGAAGAGTTGTAATTTTGATCCCAACCCAGAGACAAAGGAACTCCTGGATTAAGCATAGGGAAGAACTAAACTTCGTGGAGGAATTTGTTGATAGAACTAACCTACATTTGCGCTACAGGGTGGAGAAAGCCACTGATACCTCTCTTGTTTAGCGTGACGCCAAGGGAATTTCAACCCAAGATTTAGCTACCACTGAGGATATTTTACGTCAGTACTTCGCAAGCCAAGAACTGAATTCTTACGAAACAGTCATCGTTGAGATTCCAACCAGGATCATACTTTTTTTCAAATTTTGAACTGTCGTGGAATGATATATTTTGCTCGGACCTTTAGTAGTAAAAAAAAAAAAAGTTTGAGTTATAAGAGCTCCTCTCTAATAATCAAGTGAAAATGCTTTCTGCGACGAGAACACTGTCTTCCAAAGAGGTGCGTTGGTCTTGGGTAACAGGTAAGTAGGTAATAAATAGAAATAACGAATAATACTAAGTTTTCCTATTTTGATCTCTAATAATATTTTTTACAAAAATGAAAAGTTGAATTTTGAAAAATTATTAATACAAAAATTTCTTTATTCAATATGATTGTCAGGGAGCCTTCGATTTTATAAGCGTTGCTGAACAGCCGACACAATTTTGGGTTTACGGCTAATAATTTTCAACTCCGTAGTCTTGTAATTTTGAACCCAATCCAGAAGAAAAGGAAGCTCCTGCATCCAGAATTAAAAGAAGTTTACCTTCGTAAACGAATTTTTGATAAGACTAAGCCGCATTTGCCTTCCATGGAGGAGAAAACCACGAAAACCTTATACGGCTACATGACGGCAAGGGGACTCTTACCCGTGATCCGTCTACCATAAGGATATCTTACGTCAGCACTGTGGTCCATGCGAGCCGGGTGCTGTATCTGTTAGCCATTGCTAGAATTCGAAATCAGTTCACCTCATTTTGAGGCTCTATCCCTTGAGCCACCACGGCTCTGAAATGATGGCGACCTGTGGTGGGCTCGAATCACCAAACTTTCGGTTAAAAATGCTCTACAAATATTCAATCCAAATAATATACTTCATATATTTTTTGACCCTAAGTTTTATTGCGCTTAAGTTAAATATTATAAAGCACCCCTACCTTCAGGTGCCCCAGTTAGATTATGCCCAAATGAATGAAAAAAAAGTACATAGGAAGAAATAGCTTGGTAGGAGAGATTTGAATATTATAGTTTATAATAAAGGCCGGGATAGTCTGGTTGATAGGGCACTGGGCCCATGTCTAAGAGGTCGTAGATTCGATCCCCGCCGATCGAAGACTCCCCGTGTAATAAATGGTGACTGATGAACGTTAAATCTGTCAAGTCACAAAGTCCTCCATGTTCTCAAAACAAATCATACCTATGTGGGTACTGATCCAAGAGTTTCCTTGTCTTCTGTATAGTACATTCAGGTCGAGTTTGGAAATTATAGTTTAATATTTAGGGGAGATAGGGGCCCTATTCCTCTATTCTAACTAAATTCCTACTAATGAAATTTTTCGTCTAACTTTCATTAGTAACATTTTTAAATTATGATTATAAAGTTTTACCAAGATAACAAAAATTTGGTTTTTTATTTTAAGCACAAAAAATGTTCTTTTTTTTTACACCATTAAATGTTCTTTTTTTTTTACACCATTAAATTTATATTTCAAAAGCTATTTATTATTGAATAAAAATCCAATTTATTTTAAATTGTATGTGTATGTTTATCATAATATTAAATACTAAAATATCTTTTGGTATAAGAGTTATAATCAATTTCATGGGAAAAAATACAGCTTATTGAATTGCGGAACAGGCTTAAAAATCCAATAATCAGGATTACAATTATAGAGAAGGGTAATAACAGAAAATTAAAAAAATAGCAATGCTCTTTCTATTTTAAGGTAAGAAGTAGCTAATAAAGTAAGCAAAATTAAAGTTTCTAATAATATGTACACTTTGGTTACGAATAATTGAATCAAAGAATTGATATAAAAGGGGATATTTCTGTAGTGTCAACTACTATTATCNAAAAAAAAAAAAAAAAACTATATTTTTATACATTAAATAGTTACTAATGTAACTGTCGATACAGTTGAACTCGAATGTATTATATTATTTAAAAAAATTTGCACCTGCATATTAGAAAAAAGATATATATTTTTTCAAATCTGTATTGTTTAAATAATGATTTTTNTTTTTTTTTTTTTTTTTTTTTTTTTTTTTTTTAAATTAATAACATGACATAAACATAAACGACAGAAAGATTGCTAAAATTCTGACAATTTTATAGGCATGAAAATATTTATTATTTATTACCTTAAAGGTTTAAAAAATTATGCTTAATTATGTTATTACACTTGACATCTTCGAGGAGCAAGCGTGAACTCATAACGATAGGAGCAGTTTTTCTGCGCATTCTGTCTCGAGAAGCTAGTCTAAATACTGCTTTCTATGTGACTAAAACCATAAAAAAGAAAAACTTCGTCGTAGCTTAAAAAAAGAAATTAAATGATTGAATGCAATAATGAAAAATTAGCATTTCGTACACAAGTATTTGTTTACTCCCATTTCTGCCTTTCTTGAAATTAGTTACTAAGCACTCTTTTCCATGTTTTCATCTAACTCTCTATAAAATTTGAATTTCAAAAATCTAAAATAGCCTTCGCAGACAAGTAAGCTACAAGCTTAAAAAGATTCTTCCACGCAAGTGTAATAAACAAAAGGGCAAGCTCCAAAATTCGCACCGATTACACACTCTACATGAAATTTGTAAAAAAAAAATTTAATTTAAAGTTGATTTGGCACTTTTGCTATTGTATTTGTCATGACAGATTACAATACGGAATCCCGTAATAAGCATTGTGGTCAAATTTGTAGTTATTATATGTTTTATTTACTCTGCATGTTTGGTAAAGCAGAGTTGTGCAAAGGAATAAAAAGGATCAGGTACTCCCTTGCAGAAGAGAGAACGTACTACCGTTAAAATTTACCAAAATGTGCTATATTATGTATTAACTGATTTTGATCCTCAATTTTTTAATTATTCTCATATTGTATGTGTATATTTCCAAAAGTAATTTTCACTCACTATTAAAATAACATAAAAATTTGAAGGTTTTGAAAAGGCAAGCTAAAAAACAATCGCTATGTAAGTTTTCTTTAAAAAAAGTGAATTAAAATAAAAAAGATTAATTGCTGAACAATTTGATGGTGCACATTGATTTGCTTTTACCTATGAACTTCTTATTTTAACTTGAAATTTTTTTTTTTTTGTTGAATAACGAAGAAAAATGTTTTTAATTTCATGTTTATGCAAAAAAAGAAAGAAAAAAAACTTGATAAAATTCAATAGTTTTGTGGAATTGTGAATTTAAAATATGGTTCCTCTTATTACCTAAAAAAGACATGAGGTATTTGCATTAATGATTATATTATCTAAATTATTTAATTAAATCTTTTTTAAATAACTTCATGAAAAGAAGATTAGATTAAGAAACAAAATCCATTAAGAGTAATTTAAAATAATTTTAAATACAATCTCATTATTTAAAAAGTGTCGAGATATGGGCGATAAACGCGGAGAGTAAAATTAACATTGAAAGCTCCCAATCTTCCCCAACTGTATTGGTCTCCCCGTCTAACTATTGTGGCCATGTTCCTAGAGTGAGGCTCTCCCAAATTTTGAGATTCTAAGTAGGTAGCATGTTGTAAGTCAGATATAGTACATTTTTATGTTTGATTTCGTATGTTAAATAATCGCCTGCACCAAGCAATTAACATATTTGGTGTCACCCCTTTAAACTCTTAAGATTGAGTTTTATGGCTTGAAGGAATGATCACTAAATAAAATATAATTTAGGGTGTATTATTTTTGTACTTACAAAATTTTAATAAGTTCATGCTTTTAAATCTGTTATTAGCATGCAGTGTTTCTCTAAATTTATAATCTGCAACAAGCATGTGTCGTTCTGATCTATAATTTTTGTTAACTTGGTGAAAATCAGTTATGCTAAATTTGAGTTTATTTTCTATTTTATTAAAACATTAATCCTCTTGTAGCTATTGCAGTTACTTATATAGCAAAAATAATTCAGAAAACAAAAGTTTGTTTACTCTTACAAAATTACATTTAGAATTACAGTGGAGCATCGTTCATATGACGCCGAAGGGACCACCGAAAAATGTCGTATAATCGATTTTTACTTCTGAAATTAACTCTGTTTTCAGTTAATTTTAATGTTTAATGTGTTGATTTACATAAATTTCTAAGTTAGACAAAGCAAACAAATAACCAAAGAAGAAAAATTGCAGTGAGCAATTTGAATGCATGTTACCTTTAATTATATTTTCTTGCTATTAGTCTCTACAATGTTTTGAATAGCGAGTTGAACTTACTGCTTTCTATGATGCAATTTTAGATTTCTAATCACGACCAAATCTAATGGCTGAAGCGCACTTGTGCAATTTCCAGGAAAAAAGAGAGCTTTTACATTTTCCAAAATAATTAGTATCGATGGGTGCGCTGGACATTGGTCGATGAATAGCAAAATGTTTCGTTTTTGCCTCTTCATAACATAGTCTAGTTTTTTCAGACATCTAGTAAAAATTACGGTTGTTTTTCAAGCATTCTTGTTGGCACCTTTTTCTGTATCATTCATGTTGGCAAATTCCGCCCTTTTTTAAAATACACAAGAAAAAATAAACAATTAAATAAACGTGAGCAAAATCTGAAAACCGATTCTGTATGTCGTATAAACGATATATTTTTACATTAAAATGAATAGGAATGATTTGGGACCACACTAAAACGTATAAATGTAAACGGCGTATAAGTGATCGTCGTATAAACGATGCTCCACTTCTTCAAATAAATTTTATAGATTGATATTAAAACATTCGCCATTGTATAAATGCAAGTAAGCAATACATCTGCATGAATATTTTTGAGTTTGGTAATATATTTTCTATTTTTAGGATAAACTTTTATAATGTTTTGGTTACTCAATACTTTTTAAAATTCAGTTAATTTGACCCTTTTTATCGTAGAAGTGCATGTTTTTTATTATTAATTCAAAAATTTATTTACTTATATTAGAAAAAGTATTTTAACATAGCAAACAAAGTTACTATAGGAATTGGCATTGAAATTCATAAATTTTTGGTATGGTTGAAGTACTTATTTATTTATTTTTATGTTAGACCATTTACCAAAAGAAATTTTAGAGAGAAAGGAAAAATTCTTTTAGTTAAATTTTCATTCTCTAAAAAAGTTATTTGATCTAAAAAAATTATGTAAAATACATGAATTTAATTCAAAGAGAAAATTAACTATGTCTTATTATTCGTGGAATTACACAATTAGTAATTGATATTATTTATTATAGGTAATATTACTGCAACAAAGAAAAGTTCAGTTTAAATAACTTCTTTTCTGCAAGAAATCTTATTAGTAATTCTAATTATTCTACTTTTTATGAAAAGTTAATAATTTATAGTAATTTCACTTTGCGCAACACCCAAATATTGTGATAATAAAGGTTTTTTAGTGATTAATTTTTTTCAATATTTAAAATATTATTTAGACAGTAATTTTTTCTTTTATTTATTATTAAGTTTTAATTTGTATGTATATTTATTTGTACGTTGTTTAAAGGATATTTTAATAAATTTATTATTTCTATGTTATTTGTAAAATAGTTTTCTTACTTGATATTTTTATGCAAAATCAAGCTAGAAATAAGTTATTTTTGCTTTTATAGGAATTTTAGATTAAAATAATCTTCTGAAAGAGTTTCTAAATAGAAATGAACTGCTTTCGTTATTTCAAATTAGTAACATATGTAACAAAAGTGCTGTGTTTACAAAGAAAGAAAAAATATATATATAATTTTTATTTATTGAACGTGTAATAATTTTTTATTCTAATATTATGGGTCATATTCTCGCATTTAGTTGGACGCAATAATTATTTCTTTCTGTGCTTTTTGTAAGTAATAATCAAAATAAACAATATAATTTAAAATCATGAAATCTGTAGCAGTAATCGCTAAAATAAAGATCAACAACAAAATCACATGAATCGGCTTCCTGAAAAAGGGGGTTACTCAAATCCGTGTTTCGTTTCGAGATTAGGTTGTTGTAAATAATATCGGTGAAAAAATATCGGATTTTAAAAGTATGGAAAAATCAATAGCAATAACTGCCAACAAATCAATATAATCATTACCTAAAAAGTAAATACGCAAAGGCACGATTCGATTTGTTTGAAATCTAGGCGAAGAACAAAAGCTCAGTGCTTGCCGTTAAATAAAATTGTTTGAAATATATCAGGATATTTGAAAAACCATGTGAAAATCAATATCAATAACTGCCAAAAATACAATTGAAACGTTACATAGATTTATGTTACAATTGGCATAAATTGATTTGAAATGATTATCTAAATGCATGATTCAAAATTTTAAGTATAAATTTTTGTAGAAAACAAAACTTTTTTATTTTTCAAAACAAAAATCTTTCTGCAAGAATTCTGTAACGTTCTGCGACAAGATTGACATATCTCTGCAACTCTGCCACTGGGAAATTGGTCGTTGTTAGAGGTTACCTCCATTGACTTCAAAATGTTAAAATATACATGATTTTCCACCAGTGTTTTTAATTTTAGCCATTTTCATTTTCTTGGTGCGGAAATCCCAATTTCCTTTTATTATTATCTCTGTTATTTGTACATTCTCTCTTGTTATGTAATCTATGTATATCTCTGTTATTATGTAATCTTTTTTAATAATTAAATTACACACCCATTCTTTTTTTTAGGGATTTTTTGTTTTTGGTTCGGCAATTGACCTAAACTGATTTAAATTTTAATCTGACAGACAAAATTGTAATTTATAAGTTAAATTTTTAATTTCAAATCAATGTTAACTTCTTATTGTTACAGGACAGAAAACATTCCTTTTCCTAAAAGCATTCATCTTCTTTCTAAAAATAACTTTTTGAACAAATCTACATAAAACTGTGCTTTAAAAAATTGTGCCATATTTGAAATCATGTAAATCAAGAAAGGAGAAAACTTGATGTTCCTTAACAATTTACTGGATTTCTAATTTAGCATTTTTTACAGTTTTTAAGATTGCTAATTTGTGATTTAGATTTCATTACCATTAAGTGTATCCTATAAGATTCTTCTATTACTCTTACATGTTTCTGTAGTGTTGTCAGTTAAATTCTGTAGTGTTGTTGAGGAACTGCCTATTTCTCCCCTTAGAGGTTAGGGTTAGGTTTTTCTTTTCATCCATTTTTGTTTCCCAATTTTTGTTCTCCTTGATATATTATGACAAAGTGCTTTATAATTTCATATGAGACTTTAAGAACAAAACTTTTTTGTCAGCTGCTATATTTATTTGATATCTTTTAAAGAAACAATATTTTTTAGCTAAATAAATTGAGATTCCGCAGAGGGGCAAAAAAGGGAATTATTATTTCTTGTAGCTTGATCAAAAATAGAAATTTTTTTTCTTGGTTCAAACTATGTTTTTTTTAATTTTTTAAACAAACTGTGGAACAATGTCTTAAACCCGTAATTGAAATTACGGGAACCAGTCCAATGTATTTCATCGCATTTAACTATTCCATTAAATATTAATTATTGTTTTCAATGAACAATTCAAAAAATATCTACCTTAAATATGCGAACGAAATAATAAAAAAAAGGAAAAGACGAGCTGAATAATTTAAGTATGCTTTTAAAAATATTATTTTACACCTTCATTTGGCAGGCAAATAAGCGCAATGTTTAAATTTTATTCTAGTATTATAGGTTAAAGAATGATTTACCCCTCCCCCTTGCTTTTCTGTAATGCAAAATGCTATATTTTTAAAGTATTATTTAATTAGCATCATTATCAGCTGTATAAAATTTATAATGTTAGTATTTAATTCCATTTTATGAAGCATTTTTTTTATCTATTGAATCAACACAAGTTTTAATGTATTTAAAGGGCAATATATCATAGATATTTTATATCAATAATAATTTAAAAAAATATTTTATAATAATGAATTTATGAAAAGATACAAAAATGACATGGAATACATGTAAAATAGTAAAAGTAAGTCTTAATAATAATTGTTTAATATTAATAGTTTGATAATAAATAAAGTATAACCTATTTTCATTAATTTTAACATAATAAAGTTTAATACCTGATAAAGTTTAATAATATCAAAGACTGTAGTTCTGAGATTTCTGAATTCCTGACTAAAAAATTTTTTTTATCATTATTTTTAGCTTTTTGTCCTGATATTTCTGATTTATTTGTACTAAGAACATCCCATTTTCTATGAATACTAATACAGTTTCTAAAGTAATCAGTTTGAATGATAGAAAGATTTGTATTTTCAATTTAATATTTTTTGTTTTATTTTTGTTCCTGCAGAAAATTACTTTTGAAAGCAACTGCGAATATTTACTGTGCTTTCGTTTTAAAATTATTGTAACCCCACTTCAAAATGATTTATTAAAGAAATCATGGACTTAGTTGCAAGTTTTAAATAAATATTGGTATGAAAGAATATTAAATAATTGATACTTATTATTTTTGAATGCCGTAGTACTAATAAAACTTTTTAATTATTGATCTTTTATGACATGTTTATTAAAATAATTCAACTGGAAAAATTATTAAAACCTTTTATTTAGAATAAAGAAACTCTGTATAAAATAAAAGTATTTTTCTTTGTGGTTAAAATTGACCCTTGTTGTACTTAAGTTGAGAAAACTATACTTTTTTTTATTTTGTTTGCTTCTTTAAAAAGGTAAACTAATATATGTATATTGTTTCAAAACATGTCCTGGTTTCTTTTTTACTGCGACCTGCAATTTGCTTATTAACATAATGCCGCATTAAATAAAATGAAAATGTGGTAAATTAAATCTCGGATTGGCAAAAATCACGATTAAAAAACCAAAAAAAATTTTTTACATTTAAATCTGATTTTTTCATTTACCAAAATATCTAATAAATTGTTTTAATGATATTTAACATTATTCAAACCACTATTATGGCTAAAATAGTTAACATTAATAGATAACATTATGGATCTCTCTTTGCAAATTATGGCTTTAATTTGACATATTGTTATGCATGCAACTTTAATTCTTCCAAATTAAAATTTTTTTACTTTAAACATTTGAAATCTTTTATCTTCATAAGTTACTATAATGTTCTAATTTGCTGTGCATTTTCAATATATGAGACATAAAAATTTTTTATTATTTTAATTTTAATATACATTTCATTTGTAAAGAAAATTTGAAAATTTTAACTTTTATTATTATTGTATTTGATTTGTAAATAGTGATACTTTGTTCTGCAGAATGTCCTCATCAAAATGAATGAAGATGAGATGACCGCAGTTGTTGATGATTTTGACTTAGCAGAGAAAATACCAGATTCAAGGTAAACAGTGACTGCCCACGAGCCTGTATATATTTGAATGTTTATAGAACATTATTTTAATATATTTTCTGCATTAATCTGTTAACTGGGAGAGAAACAAAATAGCCAAACTACTTCAGCAATAGATTATTCTTTTGCAAAAATCGAATTCTTGTACAATTGATTATTATACAATTGCTAGCTTGGTTAGTCCACCTTAATTTAAATAGCTTCCTAAAACTTTCAAAAGACTAACTGAAGTTTATTTTTAATTAGCTTACGATAAATCAGGTTAGTTGTAACTGTCCTTCTTAATGCTAAAAAGCTTGTAGCCATTTTGATGAACCGTCTATGTAACCATCTATTTTTCAATTCAAAACTCCTGTTTGAATTTCTGGTTTCTTATTTATGATGTTAGCACTTTTTGATTGGTAGATTCCACTGATGAAAGTACCAACAGATGGCAATAAAAAAAATTTATTGTTACAGTAAGGCACATTTTATCTGTATCACATTTATCCTTAATTTAATTGCAGTCCCAGTTTATTCTTAATGTATGCTATGTTAAAATAATTTGTTTATATGACTGAAAAACATAAAATATTTGTTATATGTTTGTTTGTTAATCTGTACTTTGTCTTTTTCTTCTTTTTTTTTTACCATGTAATCTCTGAATATTTGCCTTGGATTTCAGAAACTCTTAAGGCTTCCTAAACTCTAAAATACAATTTTTCCCCCTTCAATTTTTTTCCTTCTTAATTGTCTATGTGTATGGAAATAATTGTATATATTTGCGTACTCAAATTATTAAGGCATGGTATGATTATTTTAAACTTATTTCTATTTTTTTTTCCAACATCGATAACATGAAATGTCATCTTAAAGGCTATTGCATTGTCAAAATTAGTGTTCTTATGAAATATTAAATTTAAATTGTTTGATTTTCTGTTATATATCAATTTACTTCTATCCCTTGGAAAAAAATGCTTTATTGCAATATTAAAATTTAAAAAGATGAAAGAAGGATAGTCATTTTAGAAGGCCTCTATTATCCTGTAGTGTGCTTGGTGATCATGAATGCTATATTTATCCTAGTGGTAGTAAACTAAAGCAGAAATTTTAAAACAAATAGAACTTTTGTTAAGTGTTAATCCAAACTTATGAGCTTTTGTGTATCAGACTTTTCATACATCAATTTAAATCATTTGCATGTTGTGGTGAACAACTTTATTTTAAATTTAGTTAATTAAAATATTAATACTTTACATTTGCTACCATTAAAAATATTTTCTATAACTATGAAAATTCTGTAGTTGTTAAAGGATTTGCACATTTGTGACACAAACTTCTATTTTGTGCAATAACTGTTGCAGCATAACCGCAAAGTGTCTATAAAGGAAAAAAGATCAGATTTTTCTCTTTTTATAAATTTAGAATTTTTTTGTAGAATTTGTTTAATTACATTCAAAATTAGCATGCCTCAAAAATATATAGCAGTTTTAAAAGCACTTGAATAATTCAATATAAGTTTCATATGTATATATATTTTTTAATAAAAGTGTAAATATCTTTTTAACAAAGTCTAAATTATACATGCTAGTATTTAAACTTCTTTTGTCCTTATTTTGAGACTTTTTCTGTTGAATTATAAATTTAAATGCTTTTTATAATTAAGCTTAATTGTTTTTTCTAAAATATTATGATGTTATTTGTTCATTTAGATATTAAGGTATTAAGACATTATTTGTTTATTTTAGGGATGGTAGTGAACGTTTACTAATTGTTGGTTCCCCTTATTGGATGACACCTGAGTGTTTAAAGGGAAAGTGGTATAATGAAAAGGTAAATATTTTTTAATGAAAAGGTAAATATTTTTTAATGAAGTTAGCTCTACTTTATAATTTTCAGTGTTCCAATGACACTTTTTGTCATATCTACATTCCTTCAAAAACTTCATGAGTATTCTTGTATTAACAATACAAAGATGACTGGGGTGATTTTAACCCCTCTCTATTTTATTGCTCTGTAATTCAAAAAAGTTGCTAAAAATATTTAGTATTTCGGTCTTTTCATAATTTGATTAAATTTAAGTGCTTATTTAATCATTCATGTGTTAGCCTCATAGTAACATACTTATAGAACCTTGTACTTAAAATGATTGGAGGAGACAGGTATCTTGGTAGGTATCCCATTACTCCAGGTAGTTTGGGTATGAAGTACCCTTTAGTATGTATGAGGTGTCTCATTAAAAAAAATTTTTTTTTCAAAATATCAATTATTAAAGAAAATTTGATTATCTAAAAAACTAATGTATAAAGTGCTCAGTACCCCTTTTTTGTAGATCAAACTGAATAAAATATAGTTTTTGATATATTTCTTATTAAATTGATTATTATTATATTTCAGGTGTCTAATTGATCTAACATACAATCTGGGAATGTCTTTACATCCTAATGAGTTACTAATATTTAGCTGGGGGGGGGATGTTACAAAGTAATGTCAGCTCATTTTTGGAACTCTTTATTGCTATAAACATTAAAAGCTGTCGTACACTAACATGTAGTATGCTTTTCAAATACGAAATGAATACTAGTGGTCTATTTTATTTAAAGGGCTAACTATGTTACTCTGATGATCATTGTAAAAGCCTGTTTACTGGATATCATATAGTGTATTACAGTATTGTTATAAGTAGAAGATATTCAAACAGATATGTCTATTTTGTTTTTATATTATGCCAGGATTTTTTCAGATCAACGTAAATAACAATTTCAAGAACTAGTGTATTTGTTCTTGAGCTATGATTAATAATGACTTTTTATGATGCTTAGTTTTTAAGTTGTTGTAATCCTTATCAGTAACTGAATCATATGTTCAAGTGTCAAAGAAAAGTTAAAATATTAAAATGGAGAGCTAAAAATGTGTAATTTTATACGGTTCTTTTTATTTCTTTTATTTCAAAAACTCTGGCTTGAGCATGAACAATTAAATGATTTAAGACAGTATAGTGAAAAGCCCCACTTTTGCTAAAGATATTTTTCTATGTAACTGTTCTTTAGTATTGTTTCCAGATTTTCTGAAATTTCTTTTAAATAATAGCACAATTCACATAAATATCTTGTTGTCTATTCAGAAATCACTCTTGTTGCATTATTCCAAAAACTCTAATTTGGCTTACTGTATTCTCCCAAGCTCTTCAACTTTACAAAGTGAAAAAATAAAATTTATAGATGACTGTACAAGATTCCAGTTGTTCAAACAAAAACAATTATCTATGCTAAACTAAAAAACTGTGTGTCTAGACTGGAATTCTTTAAATGTTTTTATTTCAAATAAGAAAAAAAATCAAAAAAGTATGAATTTTAAGGAATTTTATCCATTTTGTTTCTTCTAAAAAGTATAGAACTAAAAATTAGACAATTTTACATTTCTGACATTTATTTTTTTATACTGAATCTCTTAAAATAAAAATGCTATTTCAAAATACCATTATTTAAAAATTTGACTTGAGATATTGGTTTAAGGAAAATATGATCAGTGAGTTTTATAAAAAGCACTGGTAAGATGAAATACAGTATAATGCAGTATACAGTACAGCTTTATATTGAAATGTAATTACAGTGATTCACAAAAGTGTTGATACACTTATGACTTTCAATGAAATAAGACTTTCCATTAATTAAAACGAATGTTTCGGAATGTATATTTAATGATAAAAAATGTGTTCTAATCTTAACAAAACTGAAATATTTTAAATGACAATATGAAATATTTTGAAAACAAAGGAAAAGTTTATTTTTAAGGAATCAATCATCAAAAAGTGACAAAAACTTTATCCCACAAAAGTCATCATACACTTTTAAAGAAAAAACTCAGTCTATTAGTAAATCTAATTTTTCGTTAAATTAACATTTAGTGGAGTTTCCTTTAGCATCTACAATAGCTTTTAAAGGTTGAAAATACGTGTAACTAGTTTTTTTTTGTCAGGTGAAATTCGTGCAGAATATTTTTTTAAAATTTTTACAGAAACTTTTACAACACTCAATTGCAAATTTATGAATTTTTCCACAAAATTTATAATTTTAATCTCTGATATGAAGTCCTTCTTTTAAGCATTTTATCACATATTGCACAGTTCAATTGAATACAGTAAACTAATTTAACATATTCATTACTGATTTACCTCTTATGAAGACAAATAATCAAATTTGGTCTATTTTATTACGACCACAAGTCATTTTTAAATGATAAAATAAAATATTACGGAGTTAGCAAGCAAAAATTAAAATATAATTTTGCTATTATAGGTTTGATACTAAATTGCTAATAAAGAAATAAAAAATTAAATGAAAAATAATTAAATAAAAAAAGCAATTGACGATAATTTTAATTCTGAGATCCAAAACATTTAAATGTACGATGACTTTCGTGGGGTAACATTTTTGTTACTATTTGATTAAAAAATTAACTTTTGCTTTGTTTTTAAAATATTCCGTGCAGTTTTGCTAAGAATAGATTATACATCTTATTATCAAATACCCATTGTGAAATATTCATTTTAATTATTGAATTTTTATTTCCTATTTCAATATAAGTTATAAGTGAGTGAGCACTTTTGGGAGCCACTGTAATTATTAAAAATTATTGATATATAATCACCTGAAACGGTTTTCTTTTCCTTAATGAAAATATATTAAACAATACTTATCCAAGGTTTTATTGGTTATTCTGATTTTGTCATTTTGTAGGTACACTTTGAGCAAATACTACTTAAAGTAACACATTAAATTCAATAAAAACAATTAAAATTATTCAATAAAAACAATATATTCTGCAAGCTAAACATATTATTTCCTCCACGTCATAATTTTTTAAAAATTAATGTTGTACCAGAACATTAAAAAATAATAAAAAAATATCTTGTAAAAAAATTAATTTTTTTCAAGATATGTTTAAAAAAATGACATTTTGAATAAGATATTTTATAATACAGACACTTTTCTTGTACACATCCTACACTTTATAAGAAAAAAGGAAAAAAACGCAAACCTGGAAATTTTAAGATTTTTACCTGGAAAAATCAGGGAAATTTCAAATCTGTTTTGAGTGGCCACCCTGTCAGACTACCAACCTTTACGTTATTGAATTATATTTCATGGAGTATTAGACAGTCAAAAACAGAAACTTTCAGAATCAAGATTAATTTTGCCAACATTACATGTCTTGCCATAAAAAAATTGGAACAGAATAGCTTTTCATATTAACTTTTGAATTATTCATATGTAGTTGTGTTAAAAATAATTTTATATCAAATTTTCGTAAACAATGAATCGTACATTAAAACATAAAGTTTTCTACTACTATAAGAAATTTTACCAAAACTGTGGAACGTTGCCAACCCTGCTTTAATTATGCATCATTTTGCTTCTTTTTCTTTTTACAAAAAAATAGGGTTTTTTAAAATTATATTAATTAAAAATGTACTTTTGTACCCGTTTATTGTAAACTGCATGGAGAGATTGTTTTGTTGCAAAAGGAGTTATCTTATTTTTGTGAATTATTTTTATGCATGACTTTATTAGCTTGCTTTTATCGCAAAGATGTGGGAATACCATTTACGACTAAGTTAGCCATCGGCTACAACGTTATAGAGCATTGGCTTGAATTTTTATGGATTTTAATGTGGACCACTTACATATACATATCTGCATGATGCTCAATGTTTTATTTATTTAAAAAAAAAAAAAAAACGATTTCCTCATTTTGCAGATGCTATATTTAAATGACATTATCATATTTAACTGACATAATTGAATCATGAGAACTGAGTGAACTGTATTTTTTATGTTAGTCAGCAATATTTAAGTAATAATATAGTTATTTTATAAAAAAATTAAATTAGTTACTTTTTTTTTGCTAGTGTAAGAAATATTTGAAGTTTTCGTTGCCTGTGCGACTAGTATAACCAATGATATAATGATGTACACTAACACTTGCAAACCAGATCTTTTTAATTAATATATTAATGAATGATATAGTTATAATATCAGAAGGTAATGATATCAATATACTTTGCCTTCCATTCTACTTTTGTCACTGTAATTTTTTTTCCATCTTGGCATCAACTGTTTATCTATATGCATATATAAATATGTTACTGTGAATTACCGAAATCGGTGACTGCTGACTTTCACCGATGAATATTGACAATCACACAGTCACTTTGGTAAATGTCCCAAATACATACTAAATCTAGTTAAGTGCCACTGTATGTTATACATTTGCCCGGTTCTCTGAATACTGATGTTTCTACTAATCATTCCTTAGCAGAAATTATAATATTGAATAAATATAATAATGTCGAAGAATAAATTAATATCAAACTGGATATAAAAAATATTTCGGACATTCACCAAAGCGACTATGTGATCGTTGATATCCACCGATGAAAGTCGACATTCTCTTGATTTCTGTCATTCACTGTATATAGTTTTGCTTTTCTTCTTGCTTTTGTCCCTCTCTTCTGGCAAATATTTTGCCTACTTACGGGATTTTCTTTAATATTTTATGATTATTCATTTCTATTTATTCTTCTACATAAGAAAATGTATTTAACAAGAGTCCATGTCACCCCCCAATACTTAACTTTTATTAAAATATTAAATAATTTTTTGTGTGCCATAATTCACAGTATCAAAATAATCTATTTTTAAAAAGAAAATTTCATAACTTGCAGTCAAAAAATACAGACAAATAAATATGTATTTATCAAGAGTCCTGAAACCGAAACATGTCACTCACACAATACTTAATAACTATTATTAAAATATTAAATTATTTTTTTGTGTATCAGTAATTCACTGTATCTTAATAAACTATTTTTGAATACAAAATTTCATAACTTACAGTCATACTTAATTTAAATTTTTCTGTTGAGGTATAAATGTAACTTTTTGTTGCAGGTGTAACTATAAGAGTAAAATTAAATAAATTTACCTTTTGTAACGAAGATTAATAAACACTTTTCTGTAAGCAAACACTCAATAATAGCTGTAAGATTATTTATATAAGTCCAGAGTTTTGCTGAATAATTTCCTCAGCTGTACAAGACCATGAAACGTAAAGATTTTTGACGCAGTCTTTTTCACACAGACATAGTGTCTCTTTATAAATTGAAATAAACAAGTTGATGACAAAAATTTCATTAAAATATGGAATAGTACGCACTTTACAATTAATATGCTATATTTCAACCATATTTAAAGAAATTTGAATTTACATACTTATAGCCTCTATCTTGTGGATAGAGCAACTTATATTTTTTAATGTTATATTTTTTTGTATATAAATATATTTTTTGTATACTTTTGTATTAAAGCATATTAACTGTGCAAATATAAATATACTATACATATATAAAGATACAATACATATATAAAGATACTATGCATATATAAAGATACTATACATATATAAAGATTAAAGTACTATATATGTCTATATTACCATCTCAATTGTTTTCTGATAATTATTTTGTTTCAGAAATATGCTCATCATCTGAAAGTTGAATCGAATGAAGGTAGTTTTTAAAAATGATTCATAATTATGATTCTTTTTTTACTGACATTTTTATTTATTTTCATTCAAAATTTACTTTTTGTATTTAAAAACTTGTTTTATTTTCTTTTTTTGAACAAAAGTTTATTTTTTAATTTGCATCATTAGCAGTTATTTTTTTCCCCTGTGCAATTGCTTGACAAATAGCATTAAAAATAGTTCAAAACCGAAAATAATTTTTATTTTATCTTGCAGAATATAAAGATATGTGTCATTTACAAATCTGGTAATACTTCATATTCACCATGTAAACTTAACTGAACCAGCTGTTGTTATAAATCTTAAAAGAAAATAAAAATTATTATAGTTGTTTTCCAAAAAATATTATTCATTTTTTGTAATGTGTAATATCAACACATTAGCAGTTTTTACTTAAGTGAACTTTTATTTAAACCTAGAAAAGAGAGATTTTTAAATTGTAAAAATTTGCAATTGTTTAACTGAATAACATTTAAAATTGTTGTCAATCCGCTACCTACTTTCTGTTAAGTTTTTTTTTAATACATATATTTTTTAATCTTTTAATGAGAAACTCTCATCTAAATTACTTTTCTTTAAATGATATTATTATTATTTGTCATAACCAATAAATAGTTGCTTACTTTTTACTGATTTAAAGCAACACATTTTTTTATATTTCAATTTTTATATATTTCAGTTTATTTTTGATACCATCTTTAATATTCTTTTATAACTTACTTATATTTTTAGATATATTTTCCATGACAAACTTTTTTTCTTCTATTTTTGAATTAAATAAACTGACGATTGATTATATTGCTATCCATATCAACATAACTCAATATACTTGAACACTTTTGTCCAAAAACAGCCCCTCCAGTCATAGTTTTCACAGTATATTATTTAGGGAACATTTTTCCTGTAAAGAAAAACTATCATATCCTATTGAATTGATTCAAATGATCATTTAAGTGATAATGATAATTACAAGAAATTAAACACTTACAAAAAATTAGAAATACCAATTTTTTAATCAAACATTTATTATTTTGAATGCCTATAATTTTTTTATTCTCTATTTTTTCAGTTCATAATTCGAGGACCCATATTGACAAAACTTATTTAAAAAAACGCTATTGAGACAGATTTTGGAAGATTCGAAAAGTCCATCTTGTCAAGTCCCCAACTTCTTTTGAATCCAAGTATGGAAAATATGTGTTCCTTTCAAATCGTAACTATGTATGGTGATAAATTTAATTATTATCCTTTTTTTAAGCTACTTGTAAACAACTTTTGACTTATTGAGTACTTAAAATGCCTAAAGGTTTTTTTTAAAATCTATTTTACTCTTTTTCTTCTTTATTACTCAATATGAAAGATGTATATTGAGGAGAAATATCAATAAAAATTGGCTCAGAAGCAAAATACTCTCCCTGTATACATCATATAAATTGCGAACAAAGAATTGTAAGTTATTAATTTGTAATGTAAGACCAAAAGAGTATATTGCTTAACTGTCAACTCTATTGGATTTAACATAATTGCTAACATAACTTACGTTAATTTAAACTATGTACCCTAATTTGGTTTTTGATCATTTTTACTACTGGCTAAATTAATCTAGATGGTAATATAATAAATATCAGGCTGTTCCAAAATTGTTTCTCTCTTTCTTCTTGCAAGGAATAATGAAATGAATTTTAAGATAATCTTATCATTTGTGTGTATGTGAACATCAGATAACAGAAAGAAATACTGTTGTTATTCACTTTGTATAACAAAATAACATTAAATCAAATGAATAAGGATGTAAAAAAATTCTTATTTAACCATATAGCCTAGCGAGTAATGACAGATTTACTTATCTGAAAGTAAACAAATAATTTTTTAAATATATAAAAGTTTACTTCTTGCCTGTTACTTTTGATCAAACTGCTAGACTGTACACAAAATAAAAATTAAAAGTAGGAGCACACAATAATTTTTGATTGACCAGCCATAAAAACTTAAAAATACCCTGTTGATGTTAATACGAAGCTGTTATTCTAAGAGGGAATCTTGTTTTTAAATTTCATTTGAAAGTAAGATGAAAGTATTACTATTAAATAGTTTTTTTTTTCACTCAGCAGCAGGTCTAAGAGATATTAAAATAAAAAAATAGAAAGAATTTAATGTGAATATGTTATGACAGACTTAATTGCAAAATAGTTGTACCAAATTTATATCTTTTAAAGTTATAATAGTAACTATATATAATAGTATAATATAATAATATATATGTATATATAATAGTATAATATAATATATAATATCTATATATAATGTATAATAGTATAATATAATAGTAAAGTATAAAAGTAAAAGTTATAATATATAAAGTTATAATACATTTAAAGATTAATAATATCCTATATCTTTGAAATCCCTTTTTTAAATTAATTAAAAAGTCTATTAACTATCTTTGATGCCTGTTACTATTCAAAATTATGAGTAAACAGAATAAGTGTTCATGTTCATTTAATGTGAAATCATAACTGTAAAGTATTGCAGTTTTTTCTATTTTGATTACTATAAAAATTCCCTGTGTGTAAAATATTTAGTTCATTATGCAACAATTATCATGAAGTTTGTATCATTTTGTAAAATCTACTGGATTTTTTTTCTATCCATGTTAGAAGCTATGTCTTTTTGTTGACTTTTAAATTTGTGTCCCATTCATTTTGTCCAGAAACAGTCTTTCACTAAAAGAAAGTGGGAAAAACTTTTATTAAAAAAAAATGAGAAACTGGATGAAATGAATAAAGAAAATAACTATTTTCAATTTATTTATTTTTGTTTTCTGAAGAATTTTAAAATACATGAATCATTTAGATTTAGTTGCATACTAAACAACATTCAATTTCAAAAATAAGAATGATATTTAATTTGTAATTGTGAATAAATTTTGTTATTTGCAGTAGTATGCAATCTTTAGTATGTGATTTCTTAATTGAAAAGCATTAAAAAAATTGATTATGATATTTTAACAGTTTATGGCATAAACTGTATAAATATAATAACTGCCTTTTTAAAAAATATAAAAATTTATATTTCATTTCTAACATTTAAGTGAAATATTAAAACTCTACAATCATTTTAATTTCTTTAGAAATGCATTAAATTTATTTTTATTCCTAAGTGTTGCTTTTTTATAATATTGATGTACTAACAGCTTGGAAATTAATACTATTAGTTAAAACTTCATTGCAATTAAAAACTGTTTTTTCCACTTAGGTTGAAAGAAGCACAATTTATTTCTTACTGAATCTAGAAACTTGAAACAACAATATTTCTTCTTTATATATATGTTAATTTTAAATTATTTTTGGCTCTATTAAGTTATATTTATTTAAAACTAGTATGAAATTTAAATTCTTCTATGATTCATTATATTTTTTAAAAAATATAACATTCATAAAATAAATGTTTAAATTTTTTTTTTTCTTTTAGGTCTGGTAAAAATGCAAACTACATTTATTAAAAATACAAGATGTCTTGCCATGAAGAACAAGATCTTATTGCAGGTAACATTTAAATTGTTTTCTAATTGCACATTTTATCTGTATAGGTTTTATTTTTTGGTTGTTTTATCATAGTAGTTGTTAATTAATGTATTTATTTCCTAATGCTAAAAACATGTAAAAGTTATGTTAAAAACTTCATGTGAGTTTTATGGAGCAGCTAAGGTTTTATTTTGCAATGAGAGATAGCAAAATTCAATCTCAGAAACAAACTTTTCAAATTAAGTTTTATGTTAGAATTAAACCTATAATGATTTTTTTTATAGAGGCTTTTCAATTAATGTGCTATGAGAGTTGAATTTTAGTCTATCATAAACAAATGCTTCATAGTGGCTATATTCTGTTCTGTAACATTTTTGTTTAAAGTACAAATACCACAAAACAGAATTGTTTATATTTAATTTCATTAATAACACTTGAGAGAAATTTTCTTATTTTCCATTGCATGAAATTTTTGAAGGATTCTTCGATACTTTTGTATCAAATACAGCTTTTCTTTAGACGACCTTTTTAGTCTATTTTTTGTCAAAATGTACATATTTAAAAATGTTATTTGGTGACAAATAATCATCTTTCAAAGGTTGTCTGTTATATAATTATGACTATGAGCCACTTATAAATGATAGAAGAAAATATTATGGAGTTAGACAGCAAAAATTATAATATAATTTTTCTAACAAAAGTTTGATACTAAATTATAAATAAATAAATAAATAAAAAATTAAATGAAAAAATTAAATAAAACAAATTAAAGTGATAGCCAATCATTTTAATTCTGAAATCCTAAAGCATTTAAGTGTACAATGATTGTAAAGCAAAATTTTTGTTATTTTTTTATTGATTTCTTAAAAATAAACTTTTGCTTTGTTTTTAAAATATTCCATGAAGTTTTGCTAAGAATAGATTATACATCTTTTTATTAAATACCTATTCTGAAATATTCATTTTAATTAGTGAAAAGAGCCCTATTTCAATAAAAGTCATAAGTGTGCGAACACTTTTGGAAGCCACTGTAGAAATAAAAAAATTTTGAGGTATAATTGCTTAGAGTCCTTTTCTCTTGCTTAATGAAAATATATTAAACAATACTTATTCAAGTTTTTTTTTTTTTTGGTCACTCTTTAGTTCACATTTTGTACACTTTGTGAAAAAAACTACTTAATGTATCATGTTAAAACATTTTGTATTCAATAAAAACAATGTATTCTACTAGTTAAAGATATTTTCTCCACATCTGTCTTAATTTTTTAGAAATTTTTCCAAACATTAAAAAATAAAAAGCAATATCTTACTAATTTACAAATTATAAGAGACAAATATCTTACTTACGAATTAATTTAGTCTGATTTTTTTTTTCTCGGTGATATATTAAAAAAATAACATTTTAAATGAAATATTTCATAATATGGACACTTTTCTTGTTCCTATCCTACATTTTATGAGAAAAAAACATGACGACCTGGAAATTTTAATATGTTTACATGGAAAAACCTGAAAAATTTCAGGGAAATTTGAAACTGTATTTAAGTGGCCACCCTGCTCCGTGTTGGTTGATGTAAATATAATTGTATTTAATGTAAATTTTTGTCATGTAAAGGTTTGTTTGATTTCAATTTAATCCATTCTACAGTATTTTCCTGATTTTAAACTGCGTCTTATTGTTATTATTATTGTTTATTCAACCTCATTTTTCATCTTCTCTAATTATAATTTCCTATTTACAATACCAGTTTGCTTTTTACATTTATATAACTATTCTGCTTTAGATATTTTAATAATATTTATGTCATTTCCCTGAAATTGCTCTTACGTCATGAATTTTGCAGAAAATTTCCTAAATTATAAAAGCATTATTTACAATAAAAAAATTTTGAATGATAAGAATATTTTATTTAAAATATTTTGCAGTTTTATATTATTATTAGTTTTAAATCTAAAAGATTTTAATAAAATTTACTGGGGTTTATTAGTTTTTTATTTACTTTATCAAGTATTTTTCCAAAAAATCTACTCTCAGCTCTTAAGCTTTTCAACTTATTGTAAATGTTTCGGGAATGTATTATTTAATATTTGGCCTTGGTTTTTCAGACTACTGTAGTGTTGCTACAGCTTACTTGTTATGCAACCTGTTCTCTCTTTTTTATAATATCTGATTTCTTCTTTTTATAGTCTCTAATTTTAGATTGATTTTTTTTTTCTATTTTTATATTTCATGTCTTTGAGTGTTTTTTATTTTTAAGTTCAGGGGGAAATTTATAATTTTAAGTGAAAAAATTTTAAATTGTATAGATTAAGAATGGTATTTATTAGTAAAAGACTATTATCCCGAAAAAGAAACAAATGACTTTGAACTGACAGAGAGTAAATATAAACTATTAAAATCTTTTTAAAAAAAATTCATTTAATTGAAAAGTAAGCATACAAAGATTTATCTGCAGCTAATTATGTATTAATTTTTTGTAATTTTTACAAAAGTGAGTTTTTTATAATTCTTATTTCATATATTTTTATATATAATTCTTATTTTTATATATAGGGATGCAACGTAGATCTACCTCCTAGTGGTGCACCCTGGTAACGCTTTGCGGCTAAATGATCTACAACTTTGGCTAGTACAGACATCAAAAAAATCTGTCCCTCTCTCTAATGCCAAGTGCCTAACCAAGAAAAAGATGATGGCTCTCACTTTAAACCAATGCACAGAGAAAAATTCTGGTAATATCTGATGGAATAATCTCAAAAATCTTCCTACGTGGCCAAAACGTAGGGCAGTTGGTGAGTTTCGACTGACTACCGGACACGACTGCCTCCTCTAACATCTCCATCAAATTCATGTTGCTCGAGACCTTTTCTGCACGCTCTGTGACCTTCAAGCGGAGATGGATGCAGACCACCTTCGTCTTTGCCCAGCACTAGGGGATATCTCTTTGTGTGACTGTTACTGACGCGCAAAAGACTAATTGGGGTCATGGACTTTTCTTCCCACGTTTGTTTTTGTTTTGTGTTTGTTTATTTTGTTGTTCCTCCATTGTGGTGAGTGGTCTTTTGTAACCTTGGCCATTGGAAATAAAAATATAAAAAATTATATATTGCTTGTATATTAAGATTATAAATTGTATTCTTTTCATGTTAATTGTGCTTCTAACATAGGGAAAGTATTGTAAATAGAGAATAATTTTTTATACATTTTTAGATGGTTATACAAATTTTTCAGGAAAGTGGGTTGCAACATAAAAAGCTGTAATCTTTTTAGGTTATTTTATTATCTAAATCTTTTTCTTAATTTATTATTCAAAACTAAATGTTTTCTCATACTTAATTATTCACTCATAATTGTATTCACACATATAAATTTTATTCTTTTCATGTTCATTGTGCTTCTAACATAGGTAAAATATTGTAAATATAGAATAATTTTTTATAAATTTGCCTGGAACTTTAATATATATATATATATATTATTGCCATTCATAAATTTCATGTGTTTGAAGTACTTATTGATTTTAATTTTGTAGCTTGTGGTCTTTGAAGGTGAAGAATAAATTTCTATGTGGTTTTTTGATTGTTTTCCTGGCATTTGCCCGGAATTTTTATATTTAATATTTTTCTATCTATTATAAATTCCATGGTTAAGGTATTAGTTGATTTCAATTTATAGCTTGTGGCCTTGAAATAAAGATGAAATTGCAATATAGTCTTTGGACCTACAATTTTTCCTAGCTTCTTGTAAAAAAAATTTATGGCATCTGCAGGGAATTATTACATTTTTTTTTCTTAACTTATATTTCCTTGTGCTAGAATTTTCAAATTGTACTTATATTTTTCTGACTTTCATTAATGGTAACATTTCCATAACTCAGTTATTCCTTAATCTTAATTTAATTAAAATGATCATAAAATTCAAAGAATCATAATATGATTAACCTGCTGTTTTCTTTGCTACTGAAAGTTTTCTTTTGAACCTGTAGTTGTTGAGTTGCCATTTTGAAACAAATTGTCAAAGATTGTCATAATGCATTTGGATTTGCAGCTATCTTAATTTACTGATACATGTGTGGTTCACTCTAAGTATCTATTCTTTGTGCTATTTGTGCTATAATCCATGAGATATTTTACTAAGAACTTAATCTAGCGTTATTGATCTCTTCTTTCAAATTTAGCCTACAGACTTGGTTTTATTCTTAGTTTTCTTTTCCTGGAATATTTTCTCTAATTCTTGCGTAGAAACATTTCTTCATTTAGTACTTTTACTATACTATACCTAAAAGTACTGAGCAGTACTTTTTTTGTTATTTCATTTTATTTATTATTAGTTGCTCACACAGCTATTACCTTTTCAGTTTATAAAAATATATACCTTTTAAGTTCATAAATATATATATACTAATACGTATGTATATATTTTTCCATCTTTCAGCTTTCTCTTGGGTTTAGTTAATGCGCATAATCACATTTTTATTTCAGATTAGTTTAAATGTTTCATGTGGTATCATTCCTTGGGATAAGTGTATGAAGTATCATTTAGCCATATATGTATATGGCTAAATAACTAACTTCATTGAAGTTGATATTTGTAAACTGTGCAACTCCTTGGAGTTGGTGATATTTAGTCATTAGTTAATGAAAAGGAAGCCAGAATGTTCTGATATTGAAACCTTTGAAGGGTATACTTTTTTTTCTGTTTATAGCTATAGTTGAAGAAGAAAAACAACATTGTAAAAACTTACAAATGTTAGATTTCTGACTTTAATGTTTTCTTGCTGTTGGATTATTATCATTAACTATTTTCTTTTGGATAAGTTATAATTTTACTGCTTTGCTTTTCTTTTTAATCATTCATTTAAGTAACTATATTTAAATTTCCGTTCACAATTTTTTTTTCTAATATAGTTTATCTTGAAATTCAATTTCATAATATGTGAGTTGTTAAACATGAAGTTTTTTTCCAGATTATTTTTAATGTTCTAAGCATGAAATTACTCTTTTCCACAGAATTATCATTCCTAAATGATTTATTATATGCTAAATATTCATTTCCATTAGAGAAGGTAACATCGAAAACTTTACATAAACCGATTTAGTGCTTAGAAATAAAGTTTCTTGTGATATAAGGTTTCTTTACAATATAAATCCAATTATTAAATTATTCTCTCCTTGCAAACTTGTAATTTTGCAACTGAACTTGCATTTTTTTTCTTGCTCTTTAAATGTTTCTTCTTACAATTGTATTTCTACATATAATAATTTTTTTTAGCAAGGATTTTTATTATTAGTTAGTTCTGATAGTTATTTATTTTTAAGTTTGTAAATATATATTACGGCTTGCTCTTTCACTTAGTTAAAACACACAATTAAGATTATTTCAAATTACTTTAAATGTTTTGGGTCTTAGAGCACTTTTTCCTTATAATAAATGTGTGAAGTATCATCCTTTGAGTCATCAAAAAAGATATGGCTAAATAACTGACTCCATTGAAGTTGATGTTAGTAAAACTATGCAACTCTTTGGAGTCAGTGATATTTGGCAAAAAGTTAATGAAGCAGAAGCAAGAGAGTTCTTCTGATGAAAATTGATTTAATTGACTTTGCCCGGGTATGACTTTTTTTTTCCTGTTAATATGAAGCAATCCAACATATCTGGTCAAATTTAAAGATATTGAGATTTCTTATTGTAAAATTTCTTTTTAATGTTCTTAAAACTGTTCCTAAAAAAAGTTTCAATAATGTTTTTCTAAACTTTTTATACTTGCTTTTTTATGCAAAAAAAATTTTTTTTGACAATATAGTTTATTAAAAGTAGAGATGATAGATTACAGATTGGAAATCATAATGAACAGATTCTTTTCTAAAATTAATTATTTGACAGAGGTAGAGTTTTCTAGAATATTGCATTAAAGGACTATAAAAGCATAATTTTTACTTGAAAACTATGAAAAGTTTTAATGGAAAAACAGTTTTGATACAGTTCTTTCAAAGTTTAACATTCAATTAATTAAAATCAATAGCTCTCCAAATGAATTTATAATAAACTTTTATTTTACGTTTGATTAATTTTTGAACTACTAAAATAGTATGTAACTTTGCGAATTTGTTTTGAAAACATTTAATAAAAGGAAAGATAAAAAATAACTTCTCTTTTACTAAAAAACTAAAATAATAAATGTTTGTTTTTGCATGATATATGTTTAGTACGTTTAGCCGCGGTAAATTCTGTAACATCACTCTAAAAGAAGTAGAGATCAAGCAATTTTTTAAAAATGCCCTCATTTTATGGGTTTGTTTCAAAAAATTAAATTAATTAATCATCAAACAATTTTTCTCTCAAAAAATATATTTGCCTGCTCTATCTTCTGGAAATTTTTTAAAATCACGGAAAAACCAATACACTCAATTACGTTTTTAAAAAAATCAGCAGATTCTTTAATTTTTTAAACGATATGCTAAAAGCGGAATATTTTGCTTTTTTTAAGATGTTTTTTACTGTATTTAAAGTTATTTGATCTAAATCCACTTTGATAAATCGCAAAACTGTTTAATTAATCTGTTACTTTACTCTGTCCCGCAGTGGACTGATCGTTAAGGCACGGTTCCCAGCAGATCACCGAAGTCAAGCATCACTGGCTGCGGTCAGTGGGCGGGTGGATGACCTCTTGGATCAGTCTGCGTAGGGACAGAGGGTGTGCGGTATTGGTCCTCGTTAAACTGTTCTACCGTAAAGTGCTCGACTTCGCGTGCAGGTCGTCGGGCTACCGAAGCGGGGGTGCCATCCCTTCTGCAGAGGATCAAAATTGTGATGGCATGTCTTCGGATCATCCTGAGGGATGTTTCCCAGACCGTCGCTAATAGCCCCTTTGTGCAGCTCTAGTGCGACGTAAATGAACTACAACAACAAGTTACTTTTGCAGAACATTTGAAAATATTCTGCTTATGGGCTTTACTCCATCTAGTTATAAATTAAAATTTTTAGCACGCCTAAATTAAAAAATGAAACTGCCATTTTTTATTTTTACATAGATTAACTGATGATGATTTTGGAGATCACGACGGGAAATAAGAAATTATTATTTTCTTTACATAAATTGAATTTCCAACGATTTATAATATTTAATCTGCCATAATTACTAAGAATGATTTCGACCGGCATTTCATGACTATGAACACTTAACTGATACTAAAGTCGTTGCTTAACCTCTTCCATGATTGTCCCGAGTTAACTCGGATACATTGCAAATTATTTATCATCCCGAGAAAACTCGGCCTTAGCAGAATTTGTCAGCACATTTTGTTTTATCACGTTTTTACTCTGTCAGAAGCGAAAAACTTAACCTGCTGTTTGCCAAGTTTTATTTGTATGTTGGACTGCACACGTGTTTTGTGCGATTGTACATTCGATGGTTGCTGAATTTACATAGAAAACAAATATGATGTATTCCTTCACTGACGTTTGAAAAATATCACTTTGTGTTGTGTAAGAACTATCATACAAAGACTAATATTTAACTTTTTTCATTTGCCCGAAATAACTCTGGATAGTAAACTGATTTTAAAAGGAAATGTTTCTTACACATGAAAAAATTCAAATAACAATTTAAAACTTGTGCAATATCTTTTGTTTTAGTTCCTTGAATTTATTAATAAAATAAATAAATAAAAATATGTTCATTTTTTGCATTTTTTTTCTTCAAAATAATTGGTATGGGAAGTAGTTAAACGATGGGGGCTATATCTATTTTAGTTGTTCCCAATTAACGCAATCAATGGATTTTTAATCTGCTCATATCACATTTGCCGATAACCGGCTGACCGATGTTTCCGCTAACTGTTTGACAAACTCAACCAAGATTTGCAGTCGGCGCTTTCTTTGTCATCCCCAGATGAGGAGAGAAACGGAGAAGTTCTGCAACTAGGAGTAATGTTTGTTTGGGAGGTTTAAGAAGATCTGATCCCACTTTCTATGCGCGAGCTGGTAATCCTACCCCTTCAAAAACAATGGTTAGAATAAAGATC